TTAATAAATAATTTTTAATATATTATTTTTTTTTTTTTTTTTATTTTATTTTTATTCTGCAATCTATAAAAATAATTATATTTAGCAGAGAATGCTGACAAGTGTTTACAATTGGTTGTTTACAAATTAGCACATACGCCCAGTGGTGTATCTACTATAGTTAATATATAAAAAAGAAAAAACTAAAGACAAATATAGAGAAAAAAAAAATATAAATAAAAATAAACTATAATAAATCTCGAGGTATTTTCCTTTTGAGCCTGGTCGGCTGGCCTTCCTGGTATAAGTTGCATGCTAGTTGGTTTGGATGTGCGTCAATTCTATTCTTATAATTACAGGCAAACATTGATATATGTTCTTGAATTGTAGGTATACCCGTGTCTTTGTGGAGAATCCATGTTGGCGTGTAGTGAGGAGCGTTTAATATTTGCCGCAGGAATTTGTTTTGTGCTCGTTGTATTATGTTTAAATTGCTCTTTTTAGCAGTACCCCAAAGTTGTAATCCGTAGGTCCACACGGGTTTGATCACAGCCTTATATATAAGTAATTTGTTGTAAGTTGATAATTCTGATTTTCTGTTTAAGAGCCAATAATAATTTTTGAAGATTAGATCTATTTGTTGTTTTTTGTTCTTTATGTGTACTTTCCAGTTGAGTTTCCTATCTAAGTGAATGCCGAGATACTTTATTGATTCTTTGGACGGAATAATTTCATCGTTGAGTACAACTGCTGGGCAAGTTTGGGTGCGAAGCGTGAAAGTTATATGGACTGATTTTGTGCTATTTACTTCTATCCTCCACAACGAAAACCATTTCTCAGCTAAGCTGAGATGGTGCTGAAGGCTGTTGGAAGCTGCAGTCGGATCTTTGTTTGTGGCGATGATGCACGTATCATCAGCAAATGTGGCTAAACTCGTGTCAGTTGAAGTTGGAAAATCAGCTGTAAAAATTAAAAATAGTGTTGGGGCGAGGACACTCCCTTGAGGCACTCCAGAATTAATTTCGGTAATATTTGAGTCCGTATCGGCGATGCTGACAAAAAAGTTTCTATTTTGTAAATAGGATTTTATTAATAGGAATAAAGAATCTGGTAAACATCTTTTAACTTTATACATTAATCCGGTATGCCATACTTTGTCAAATGCCTGCTTGAGATCCAAAAAAGCCGCAGAACAGTACTCTTTATTATGCAGCGCATTGTTAATTACGTTTATTATTCTGTGAACTTGCTCAATTGTTGAATGTTTGTCGCGAAACCCAAATTGATGGTTCGGAATAAAACTTTGTTCTTGTAGGATTATTTTAATCCGTTGAAGAATTAGCTTTTCAAATATTTTCGATATGCAAGACAATAAACTTATCGGCCGGTAGGAAGATAATAGATAAGGGTCTTTACCTGGTTTCACTATAAGGATTATTTTAGCTCTTTTCCAAGACTGCGGAAAAGTTTTCATTCTCAGTATAGAGTTATATATTATTGTGAGCATTCTAATAGCTTTTCTTGGAAGTTCTTTAAGCATTTTAATAGAAATCCGGTCTGGTCCAGGTGATTTTCTAGAATTTGCTTTTGCAATTTCTTGGGTTACTTCAGCCGCAGTAAAACGATTAACATCATGAGTCACTAGCGACGGTGAATCCTGAAGAAAATCATAAATGAATTGTTCATCATTAGAGTTGCATTTACGTGAAAATGGCTGAAATGTGAGGCGCAGGTGTTCGGCGAATGCATTAGTTTTTTCTTCTGGACTTCTTGCCCATGAACCGTCTGTTTTTCTTAAAGGAGGAATTGGTACAATTGGTCTTTTCAATTTTTTGGTTGCTTTCCAAAGAGAATAATTTGTTTCACTACTTGCAGAAAGATTATGTAAGTAGTTTTCAAAAGAAACATTTTTATAATTTATTATTAAATTTTTCAGGTCTCTGCATGCACTGTTAAATTTTCTTTTATCTTCCGGTGATCTAGTTATTTGCCAAATTCTTCTTAATTTCCTTTTCTGTGCAATGATTTTTTAATATCTATGGGCACAGAGTGACTGTGATTGTGATTTAGAATAGGAGTCGATATTTTAGCTGCTGCAATTAATGTATTTGTGAAGTTGTTGATACCGATATTCAAATCATTCTCACTTTTTAATGGAATATTACAGTTAATGGTGTCTTCGATGTATTCTTGGAAAAGAAGCCAATCGGTAAATTTGTTTGTAAGCGAACTCATGACTTTGGTTGGAGTATTAGTGGAGTATTTAAGAATTACTGGTGAATGATCAGAACTGAGATCCAGACTTGAATTTATTTCAACACTCTCGTTTTTAATATTTTTGGCTACAAAAAAATCGAGGAGGTCTGGAATTTTGTTCAAATCAGTTGGCCAGTATGTGGGCTCACCCGTAGAAAATGTCCGAAGATTATTATTATTTATTGTATTATACAATTGACGGCCTCTAGGTGTTATTAGTCTAGATCCCCAAAATGTGTGCTTTGCGTTATAATCACCTCCCGCAATAAACAAATTTCCAAGGCTGGTAAAAAAAGTTGTAAACTGATTTTCAGTAATAATGTGCCTTGGCGGACAATAGATTGCCGATACTGTAATTTTGTGAGTCATTAGGTCAATTGAAAACATTTGTCGATTGTATGTAGTCAGTATAAAAAGGTTCTGTCTCGTAATGTCTTATGTTTGACTTTATGATAATGGCAGTGCCACCGTGAGGTCTGTCGTCCGGGTGATTTGTGGTATATGTGTGATAATTAGGAAAACGAATATTGTGATTTGTCTCGGTAAAATGCGTCTCGGAAATTAGCATAATGTCTACGTCATTGGTAGTTAAAAATTGTTTGAGTTCATGGACATGATTGCTCAAGCCGTTCGAGTTCCATATGCAAATTGTTAGTTGCATAGACATAATTATTTTTTATTAGATAAAATTGTTGTTAGTAAATTAAGCATTATGCCCATTTGTTCTGTCAATATTTTAATCATGTTTTTAAGTTCTGTTAAGTCATTAGATTTATTGTTAGTATTGTTTTCAGAGTTACTATTGTTTATTGAGTTCGTTGAGTCAGTAGGTAAAGTTGTGTTGTTTCTAGTAATATTGGAGTAAGTTACGCCCGGTCTTAAAGTAGCATTTGGTTTTAAATTTTGCACATTACTTGTTTTCTGACGTAATGAAGTGTTTTTTTTTTCAATATATTCTTTATAGACGTGACAGCCTTTATAGTTAGCAGGGTGATTTTCATTACAAAGGACACACTTCACTTGGTCGACCTTTTTTTCCCACTTGCATTTTTCTGTCAAGTGATCTTGAGCGCATTTAACGCATCTGGGGGTGCGGTGGCAATAATTTCTGGTATGACCATACCTTTGGCAGCGAGTGCACTGAACAATTTCTCTAGAGAACCTCTTTGCCTCTATTTCCACTTTAGTTTTATATAAAAAATCAATTTTATAAAAATCTTTATTATTAGGCTGTTGTTCAAGCTCAATTAAAAACATGTTCAGAGGGAATTTTGAGATTCTGCTTTTAATGTTCTCAATACGAACGACTTTGTGACCTAACTGTTGTATTTCATTTTTGAGCATATCTGTATCCGTGCTGAAATGTAGGTTTTTAACCACTATTTTGAACGTTCTTTTACATTTCTCCTGGAAAGAATGCATTTGAGTACCCCTCTCTTTCAGAAGTTTGAGAATTTTATTGTAAAGTTTAGCATTATCAAGATTAACTCTAACCCTAGTTTCGTCAATAACTTTTATTTGATAAAGATTTTTTGCTTCACATTCTAAGAGTTGAGCTAATGGTTTGATATCACGTACCTCATGTATAAAAATTGGCGGCGGTCTGTTAACTGGGCTGCATTTATCACTCGAGTCTTCGGTATTAGGATTAGCTAAAACTTCATATATATTGCTTGTGGGAGTTGGGTTTAGCCAGTAGTTCGAATTTGAAGATGTTTTTTTGCATGTTGATTCTTCATTTAAATTTCTTTTGAATTTTTTGTTTCTTACTTCAAACCATTCTGAATCCTTACTGGTGGTTGCTTCTTGATTAAATTCATTTAGGGAAATTGAGTCATTTTTCTGATGTAAAGAATCTTCTTCAACAATATCTGTATTAGACCTCTTATACTTGTTAGCACTCGTATAGACCTTTTTCGGTTTGACTGGGGAGCATTCTAAATCCATCTGATCGGTATCCGTATTTAAAATTTTTGACATTTTCAAGTAAAAGTTATTAATTCCCCCGTAGGGGAATATTTCTCTATTACGTACTCACACAGGAATGTTTCTATTCAAATTTTTAGACCAAAATCATAAAATTCCTGCAAGTTATTTGCAAATTTAATAAATTTAATATTTCTCAGTATTATGAATGTCACAATATTTTGTTTTTTGAGGTTGTTATATTGACTTTGAATTCGATATTTCATTCTCAAGCAATAAATATAGAAAATTCGGGACATTTTTTGGTTTTTGTCAAATAACTCAGAAATGTCATATGGAACTACCTTTTTTAAGTTAGATAAGGTGAAACTAGATAAAATTTACAACATTTTCTAGGGAACACTTTTATACACTCCGATATAAAAGTTTTGAATAAAAGTACTTTGAATTCGATATTTCTTATATTATATTATACTGATAAATTGCTATAAGCCCGAAAACTAAATATACTTTATTACAATACTTTTTCTTCTTCAGCATTTTTCATATAACTTCTTAACAAATTATTTTGTTTAATTTTAGTTAACACTGTCAAAAACTTGATAAAATTGTCTAAAATATTCATTAACAATTTTTTTTTCTAAAATACAAAGCAAAATAACTACAAGTCTGAGAACTCAAAATATTATATTATCACACATTTTACTTCTGGAATCGTGGCATTTTTTCAGCATTTGTAATATAATTTTTTAACAGATTATCTTGTTCAAAAAAAATACTTCAGCATTTATAGATAAAATTATCTAAAACGTTTCTTAACAATATTTTCTTCTATATTACAAATTAAAAGAACTACAAGCCTTGAAACTAAAAGTAATATATTAACTCTCAATTTCTTCACAGTAATCGTGGCATTTTTGCAGCTTTTTTAACGTAACTTCTTAACAAATTATCACTTACAGAAACTAGATAAAATTATCTAAAACTTTTCTTAACAACATTTTTCTCTATGTTACAAATAAAAAAAACTACAAGCTTGAGAACCCAAAATATTATATCATCAAACAATTTCTTCCAGTAAGTTCTTCTTTCTCAGCATTTTTAGATAACTTTCTAACTAATTATGTTGTCCAAAAATAGTTATAACTATTAAAAACTAGATCAAATTATCTCAGAATTTCATTAATAATATTATCTTTTATCTTATATAGCAAAAGAACTACAAGTCTTGAGAACTAAAAATATTATATCATAATAGCATTTTTGATATAATTTAAAAAAAAAAAAATGTTAAAAATTAGTTAACACTGTCGAAAACTAGATAAAATTGTCTCAAACTTTTAATAACGACATATTTTTCTGTGTTACAAATAAAAATAATTACAAGCCTCAGAACCCAAAATATTATATTATCACATATTTTACTTCTAGAATCGTAGCATTTTATCAGCGTTTTTTATATTTTTTATATACTTTTTAACAAATAATCTTGTTTAAAATTAGTTAGCACTTTCAAAAACTAGATTAAATTATTTAAAACCTTTATCAAAAATATTTTATCCTCCTATACAAATTAAAAAAACTATAAGCCTACAAAGTACATCATATTTAATTCCTATCTTTAACTCTTCTCTAATCAAACAAATTGATATAATTTGATATGCATATTAATTTTATTATAAATTATATATATATATATATATATATATATATATCAATTAACTCCATCTATATTTATTTTCCCAAAGCATTTTCTACTGTGATATTATCCGGGTTCGGAATCACCGCAGGCGCACACCGTTTGTGGTCTCATAGGTCATACAAAGCGACTTGGCAATTGAGGACCATACTCATGTTTCTCTTTACCATCACTGGACAGGTAAAAAATATAAAATATATACAGAGAATTATGAAATAAATGTAAAAAACCGCTTTAAAATCGCGTTAAAATCGCTCATTTCTATCAAGTTTGGTAGAAAAGAAAGATTTTTTGTTTCTAGGAGTTCCTCAAGGGAGTTTCTTCGGGCCTATTTAGTAACACAAAAATATAAATAATATAATACAGTGTTTTTTAAATACTTGTTTTATGAATATTTAACTTGTATTTTATAATCTTTGATTCCAAAACCCAGAACTCAACTACATTTTGTGATTTTTGTTAACTTTGTACCTTGATTTTTTTAGTTTTGTACCTAGATTTTTTTTTTATTTTCATGATTTTTTCCCCAGAGGGATGCTTACACATGGGCCTTAGACCACAGGGTCCATCACAAATATTCAGAGACGGACTCGGACCCCCATAATGCAAAACGTGGATTTTTTTTCGCCCATGTGGGTTGGCTTGTTCTAACTCCACATCCTAATGTTGTACTTAAAAGGAAACAGGTATGGATAGAAAATTAGTTGTAACTTTGTAAGAGTTGGTTGGATGATGGTGATATGTTCTGGAGATTTGTGCAAAAATGTGTTGTCTTTAAGTTTGTGTAAGGTTATAATGCTCTACAGCAACTCTGTATACTCAAAAATGACTTTGAAAACTAAGAACTTACTTAGTCGCCCCTGGTCAAGGTGTGCATGTGTTCATTATATTTGTTGTATAACTTTTGAACGGTTTGTTGGATTTGAAAGAATTATTCCGCAAAGTTATACAAAATTATATAGTCTTAAAAGTTTTCTAAGGTTATAATGTTCTACAGCAACTCGGTATACTTTAAAAATGACTTAGAAAACTGCAAACTCACTTAGTCGCCCCTAGTCAAGGTGTGCATGTGTTCATTATATTTGTTGTATAACTTTTGAACGGTTTGTTGGATTTGAATGAATTATTTTGCAAAGTTATACAAAATTATATAGTCTTAAAGTTTTCTAAGGTTATAATGTTCTACAGCAACTCAGTATACTTATAAATGACTTTGAATACTGAGAACTCACTTAGTCGCCGCTAGTCAAGGTGTCCATTTGTGTATTATATCTGTTTGTAACTTTTGAACGGTTTGTCGGATTTGAATGAATTATTTTGCAAAGTTATACAAAATTATATAGTCTTAAAAGTTTTCTAAGATTATAAAGCCCTACACCAACTCGGTATACTCATAAAACCTACTTAAACATTGATAATCCCTTTCAGGTTGATATGAGTGACTTGGAAGCCGATGCAGTAGTCATGTGGCAAAAAAGGTATTTGCACCCAAAACATTATTTTTATTAAATCAACTAATTAATTATTAATTTATCTATTTAATTATTAATTTATCTATTTAATTATTAATTTATCTATTTATTTATTTAGGTTTTACATCCCTCTATTCGCCCTATTGGCAATAGGTTTACCAGTTTTGGCACCTTGGTATTTTTGGCAAGAAGACCTTTGGGTTTCTTTTTGGGTCAATTTTAATTTTAGGTTCTGTTTGACTCTAAATATTGCATTTTTTGTGAACAGTGTTGCACATATGTGGGGCCAGAAACCTTACGACAAGTGAGTATAATATAATGCAAATAAAATTCGCCGGAATTAGTTAGTTATTTCAAATTTCAATAAGAAAATAAAAAAAAAAAAAATTGGATCCTTAGTGGGAACTAATAATCTTTGGAATTTTTATTGTTTTATATGTTAATTATTTATTTTATTATATATATATATATATATATATATATATATAATTTTATTTTTTTTAGAAATATAAGTCCAGTAGAAAATTTAGGGGTTGCAATTGCAGCCCTTGGTGAAGGTTGGCACAATTATCATCATGTTTTTCCATATGATTATAAAACAGGTAAATTTATATATATATATATATATATATATATATATATATATATATATATAATATATCACTTCTATTTTATTTCCAAGGTGAACTAGGAGGGTACACTTTCAATCCTACAACAGGCCTCATAGATTTCTTTGCAAGAATAGGATGGGCGTACGATCGTAAGTATCGATTTTAAAGTATACCGAGTTGCTGTAGGGTTATATAATATTAGACAATATTATTAAGAATTTAATTTTAAACAAATTTGCCAAAAACACTTTTTAAATTAGACAATTTGTTTAGAAGTTACAAGAGATATGGTAAATGAATACACTAAATAGGTACTATAAATTATAAATACACCCTTCACAATATTATGCGTTTGAAAGCAATTTTAAAGTATATCGAGTTGCAGTAGGGTCTTATAATATTAGACAAAATTATTAACAATTTAATTTTGCATAAATTCACTGAATATTGTTTATACTTTACTTGTACTTTATAAAAGTTACAAAAAATTCAAAAGTTACAGAAGATCTGCTAAACAAATGCACTGCACACACTCTATATCAGTAATTAATTTAAATAAATAGTTTCGAAACAAACTTCTGTATTCAAGAGCGATTTTAAAGTATACCAAGTTGCTATAGGGTTCTATAATATTAGACAAAATTATTATTTATATAATTTCGTACAAATTTGTAAAATATTTTATTAAAATTCAACAAACCGTTCAAAAGTTATATAAGAAACAATTTCACATGTTTTTATAATGAAGTAATAATTAGGGTTTGATATTATTTTAATAATTTTTAAGTACACAGAATTGCTCTAGGATATATTGTTGTTTGTAAAATATATTAACAATTTAATTTTAAACAAATTTGCTTTGAGCTCCAATCATAAAAATCGAATGGTTTTAGGATTTATAAACCTTTTGGGAAACATATGCATTTTCAAGACTTTATACTCAAATTTGATTTTTAAAAGCGTGTTTAAAGTATACCGAGTTGTTGTAGGGCTTTTTTGTATTAGACAATATTATAAACAATTTAATTTTGAGCAAATTTGCCAAAAATACTATTAACATTAAACCAGCTATTCAAAAGAGATATACTAAATAAATGCATTGCAATTCATACATGCACTATAAATAATGGACTATAATAAAGTCTGTATGCAAAAGCAATTTTAAAGTGTACCGAGTTGCTGTAGAGCATTATTATATTAAACAATATTATAGAAAATTTAATTTTCCATAATTTTACCAAAAACACTATTCACATCAAATAATCTGTTCAAAGTTACAAGAGACATACTAAACAGCTTTTTAGTACTATAAATAGTACACAGGCCTGACTAAAACCACTTTATATAAACCAAATTAAACTTTATCTATTCATTATTATTTTTGAATAAAAATTTCATATTCTTCGGTGTTATTTTTTTTTTTTAGGTAAATCAGTTTCCAGAAGAATGATAGTCCGAAGGGCCCTTAGATCAGGTGATGGGTCTTTTATTTTAGACCCACATGCCGAAGAGACCCAAATTTGGGGCTATGGGGATGTCGATATGGACGAACAGGATATCAAAGACCTAATTTTTCCAGATCAAAAAAATTTGGAAAAATTAGGAAAAAAATAGTTGAAATTTAGACACCAGGTTGTCTATATCTTAGGTATTAAATTTTTATTCTTACAAATTTAACTAAAGACTTTAATTGAATTTTGCTAAGTATTATTAAAAATTTTAAAAATTCAATTTGATAGTATTACAAAAATATTTGTTTACAGTCAGTTAAGGTCTTTTTTTAAATATCTACTTCTATATAAATCTCTTCCTTAAACTATATTTTCCCTAAACTCTATTTTTACTAAGTACTTCAAGAATGCAATGAAACAGTATTGTAGATTTATGTTTTTAGCATATAAAATAGTAATATATTATGTTATATTTTTAATAAATATAAATTGCAAAAAAATTATATATTAAAATAGTCTTTGGGGCTTTTATTTACTTTCTTGCATGTCATTTCATCTATTTTCAATTGGGATTTTAAAGTATACGGAATTTTTCTTAAATAGTGGAAAAGTGGAAATTGAGAGTATTACTATTCGATGGCAAATTAAAAATGTTCTTAAAACAACTTTTTGAATCACCAAAATATCTGCAATAGTTTTTATAAAAATGCATTTTTACACTTTGCAAATTTTATAAGTTGTAAAAAATCAATATGGATTCTGCGAAATCGAAATGTTTAAAAATGCAATATCTCGAGAACGCTTTGAGATATTTTAGAAATTCAAAAAGTCGGTTATATAACATTTTTAATTTGCCATCGAACTGTGATAATCACGATTTGTTGCTTTAACTCTTTCACTAAAAGTGCAATATTAATTTGCATTCTCATATAGAAAACTTGAATTAACACAATGGGTAATGAAAAAATAAGAAGGAAAAATCGAATTCAAAGTCGTTTTATTCAAAACTTTTATATCAAAGTATATATCAAAGTTATCCTAAACAAAATTTTCGAGATATTTAAAGAAATGTAGAAAAATGTCCCGAATTATAATTATTTTGATAAAATCCATGGATATCTTTGAATATTTGAAAAAATAAAACGGCTAAAACTTTATTTAAAAATCCATGGATAGATCTTCGACCAACACTGCAATATTTACAAAATTTTTAACACATTTTAATATTAATTTATCAAATAACATTCAAAAATCATTATATCATCTAATATTTACATTGATTTCATTTTCCATATCGTTTTTTATCAATATTTTTTCATATAAATTAATTTAAAATAAGTATATAAATAGTCCTTAATTTTTTCTTCACCTTTACATTTTTTTTTTAATAAAACTTCTTCAGGCGTGACTAGAGTGTAAATCCGTACAAATGCAGCGGAAGTGCGTTACGGCAAGGTCGAGTTCCAATGATTCGTAATTCGTAAATAGATAAAATATTCCCTTTCTATATATAAAGTATTTACTTGATTTACCTATTTTTATATATTTTATATTTTCTAATAATTACAGATCGTACAGTTATTCACTTTAGTATTGTTTTTTATAATAAAAATAGCTCGTCAAGAATTCTTTAACCTTAAAGGTCACGTCTTGAAATGATAATTAATTCGTCTACTAGAATAATAAATTAGTTCAATTTTTGGAGCCAAAACTATTAAGTAAAAACAGTAAGAATACAAATTAGTGCGCTTTTTTTAATAGTGATTTTTGATTAAAATTTATGCAAAAATATGAACGTTTTTGTGGTATATATCTTAATAGTGTTTTAGTATTTATTTTATATAAATAATTATGCAAAATTGAATAATTTTGAAACTGCTTTAATTTTATGGAAAGAATAAATTAAATGTGAAAAATACTTAATTTTTAAATAAATAAAAATATATCCATTAAGTGATATGACTTATTTCAAACATTTTTTTAAATAAAACTAAAGCTATGACAATTTTGAAACTTTAGTATAATGTTTAATAAAAACTTATCTAAATTTTACACAAGTTTTGGTAAATATAGTACAAAAATTAATATATTAAAATTAATATTTTCTAAATAGCTGCTAGAGTGCAGTTATAGTAACAGCAACCTTCCAAATTTAGTTTAAAAAGTGACATATATCAACAATTTTTAAAATTATAGTATATCTAAGATAAATTTGGAACTTTGGTATTTTATTTATTAACACTTTAGCTAAACTTTCGTAAATTTTTATTAACATACGAAATAAATTTATATATTAAAATTAATATTTTCGAAACAACTACACTATATACAACTACAATGCTCCAGATTCAATTAAAAAATTATAGAATTTAAATAATTTTTAAAATTAAACTAAAACCAAAGGAACTTTGAAACTTTTTTATATTACTTACTGAGTTTTTAGCTAAATATCAGAAGTTTTTCATAAATATTTGACAAAAAACTATTATTAAAAATAAATTTTTTAAACAACTACACTATAGACAACAACAATGCTCCAGATTCAATTTAAAAAAATATTTATTTCAAATAATTTTTAAAATTAAACTAAAACTTCAAAACTTTTCAAACTTTTGTATATTCTTCATCAATATCCTAGCTAAATTTTTGAAAATTTTCATAAATATATGACAAAAATTTATATATTAAAATTAATATTTTCTAAACAACTACACTATATACAACTACAATGCTCTAGATTCAATTTAAAAAATAATACATTTCAAATGATTTTTAAAACTAAACTAAAACCACAAAATTGTTGAAATTTTAATATATTATTTATTAATACCTTAGCTAAATTTGTGTAAATTTTTAAAAATATATAATAAAAATTAATATATTAAAATTAATATTTTCGAAACAACTACACTATAGTAAAGTACAATACTCCATCTTTTTTTTTAAATAATAACTCATTTCAAATAATTTTTAAAATTATACTATAACTATGATAAATTTGAAAGTTTGGTATATTATTTATCTATACCTTAGCTAAATTTGTAGAAATTTTTATAAATATATAATAAAAATTAATATTAAAATTAAAATTTTCGAAACAACTACACTACAGACAACTTCAATACTCCAGATTTAGTTTAAAAAAATTACTCATTTCAAATAATTTTTAAAATGTAACTAAAACTACAAAACATATTATTTATAAATACCTTACGTAAATTTATGTGAATTTTCATGAATATATTGCACAAATTAATAAGCAAAAATAAAAAAATTCCAAAAAAACTGCACCTAATTGTAATTGGTGCCAGAAACAAAAATCTTCAAAATGTTATTTATAATAATATTAGAAATAAAAACTCTTATTATTTATATATATATATATATATATATATATATAAGGTTGTCAAATATCTCCCTTCCGCCTTTTTGTATTATAAACCAAGAGCAAAAAAGCGGAAGGGAGATATTTGACAACCTAATATATATTTATATAAGAAATTTATTTAACAATTAATTTCCTAAATATTTGCACAATTATTCAATATAAAAACGGAATAAAATAATGAATTTACTTATACATAACAAATTTATCTAAAAATTATTTTCCAAAATTGGTTTTTGGTGTTTTGGGCCTTAAAATACTTTACAAAAAAAAATTCTGAAACTTCTAGTTACCAATCAAATACAAAAAAATCAAAATACAAAATTCTGTACACAATTTATCCATCAAAACATCTTTTATTTATTTATTTACTATTTCATTAAACTTTCAATTGAAGCATCCTGCCAGCCTCTTATGTAAATATTTACATACAGTCGATTGAAAAATATTAAAATTCCACGAATTTAGATAACTATTACGTAATTTTAAATTTACAATATATAAATAAGACTTTTAAAAACATTTTGGCATATTTTGTTCAAAAAATTTTGGAACAAAATAGTGCTTAAAATCGATTTTGAAAAATGTTGTGCACCGCTGACTTGACCAAACGTTTGAGGCACCTGATTTACTCCGACGTTCATACAAATCCATACACTCATTTTGTTGGTGCGGAGACAATGAATCATACCTATTTTGAAATTAATTTTAAGGCACTTTTTACTCCGAAACTATATGAATTTATATTTTTTATTTATTAATTAGACCTTTATTACTACTTTGGCGTACTTGGTTTAATTTCGTCGGGAACAAAAATCGTCACAAATTTTTTTACAAAATTCTATTACACCGGTGCCGCGACCAAGCCATTGAAGCCCTTGACTTCCATACAAAATGTATGGGAACCCATAGACTCGTTTTGTGGGTTCTGCATAAGGTTTGGTTTGGTGTGGTGGGGCTAATATAAATTGTGTTTTGAAGACGACGAACGATTCATTTCGGTTTTCGTTTTTGTGTCTGATGTTTGAATAAATATTTCGGTATTTATTTAAAGTGTAAATTGTTCTTTGGACATGGCTTCAGGTAAGAATAATAAATAATAAAAACTTACCTGTATTTAGTAAAAAATACTGCTAAATAAGTGCATCATTTGCATGGAAACTTGTTTGAATTTTTTTTTAAGGTTTGATTGGAAATTACTCGAAAACTGTTGTGTCTGTAGAAATATTATATATGAAAAGTTTGTTAAGGATTTTTTTAGCTATAAAACTGTTTAATACAGTTTTGGGGTTAAATTAATAGTTTTTGAGTTATTTTAAATTTTGCAGATTGTTAACACCATAACGAATTTGTATGCAAACTTGGTAAAATTTTGCTTAAGGTTTGAATAAAATAACTCCAAAACTGTTGTGTTTATTGAAATATTATATATGAGAAGTTTGTTAAGGATTTTGTTACCTATAAATGTGTTTAATATAGTTTTGGGTTCAAATTAATAGATTTTGCGTTATTTTAAATTTTGCACCATAACACATTGTTTTTGTTTTATGTTCCTACGTTTTGGTTCAAAATATCTGCAAAATAATTAATCCTACAAAAAAGTCGTGTATTAAGGTTTTATTAGGTTTTTATTAAGCTATTTGATGTTTAATATTTTTTTTAAATTAAATTTGTGGTTTTCGAGTTAGTTAAAAATTTGTTTCGTATATATTTCATACCAAATTTTTTGTGGTACTAATTTTTGAATTGAAATATCTTCAAAACTATTAGTCGCACAA